CAGTAGGTGGAACGTGGGTGAGCCTACGCCCTATAGGAGGCCTCAGCGGAGACGTTGGGTGAGCTCAGCGCAAGATTGCTAGTCGAGTTTCAGTCACGATTTATGATACGTTGACAATTTCGATTGCTGTGTTACCTACATCACATTTTCGCTGTTCAGTCTTGTTTTTGTGCAGTCTGACTGTGTGAAATTTGGTTTTCTCATCTTACTATTAATCGATTTTATTCAAGCAATCGTTGATTCGAAGGAAAATTTCTTCATTTAGCGGACAGAACTCATTTGTCGTTGTTTTCTTAATGTTTTCAGTCATTTTATTAGTAATGTAATTATTGCAAGTAAGCATACAGTTCGCTTGTTAGTGCATAATTCTTTTATCGCTTTCTTTTTACCGAATCTTCTTTGTCAGTATCAAAATCGAGAATGCAGTTTGTTCAAGAGATTTCGCTTTTCTTCCAAAAACCTTCAGTCGAACTAGCCATTAGTAGTATTTCGAACACGTCAAATATCTGAGAATTTATTGGACTTCATTGAAGTTGTCAAATTCTTTCGAGTCTCCAAATATTTTTGTTAGCCAAATCAAGAGTCTTTTGAATTCAGCCAGCAAGCGCAAACGTAAACCTTTTGACGTCTAATCAGACGTTCGTATGGCTCCGTTTGTGGTGCACAATAGGTGGCACGTAGAGAACGATTTAAGAGGAAGCGTAAAATGAGTGGTGCATGGTTCATAATCATTTGATCGTAACGTTTAGCTGTTGCATGGATACCATTAATCACTTGTAAAGTGATATCGTTCATCGTTATCAATCTTAATCCAGCACGTTCCGTTTCGCGTAACGTTTCCTCTAACTGAAATTCATATCTTTGTATTCACTTTTCATACAGTCCTGTTTATTTTTTCGTTTTCGCTGGATGAAGTTTGTGTATCAGTTTTTTAGTTAATCGTTTTGTTTTGGTCATTTTACTTACGATTAGTCGAGTTTGTGTTTCTGTTGCCCAATTCAGAAAGTAGCTTGTTTTCGTGCCTTTGGATGGTTATCTGCGTCAGCAGACAGGCAACAACCTTGTCGATTGGTGATTATTTGTTTGAAAATTTCATGATGAACTGAGGATTTTGTGAGAAACTTTCTTATTGTGTGTAAGTAATTCAGTTGAATTGATCTGGGGTTAATATTAACGATGATGTTAAATAGGATGAGATATGTTACCTTATGAGGATAACGAATATCACTCCAGCAAAGATATCCACCTGGATGAAGGACGCGTATGCACTCACGATAAAATGCACTCTCATTCTTGTACAGATGACTGCTTTCAACATTTAAAATTATATCAAATTTGTTATCTTCGAACGGTAGTCGTTCGGCATTCCCTTCTAAGATTTTGCCATCCAAATGGTTGACGACGACCTGGTCTACGCCAGTAACTTGCTGCAGTTCAGGATGTGCCCTGCAAAGATTGTATTGCTTACTTCTCTGAAATGAGACCAAGCAATCTGATGATCTCATTGATATCATTGTATACTTTGGTAGAAGCACTCTTTATTTGATACTTCCGTGAGAATGCATTCTTGTAATTCTTGTCTATCATTAAATTTTTGTGATCTGTGATGAAGAATGCTAAAAAGTTAAATTTGGAGATGCGTAATTGTTTTATCGTGTAAGCACATGATCGAGATTTTTTCGCTCATAACTGAAACTTTATGTGGAAAATACTCCGTCATTTTAATGATTTTGTAAACTTATCGATTGATCCTATGATTTGACTTCTGTGTAAATCAAATGATTTCTACAATTGTAAAGTTTGTGACTTTTTCGAAACGTTTGATGAAGTATACTCATAACTTGTTACTCTCACGAATGAAAGAAATTTCCAAAAATTGTCAATCTCACAAGTTTGTGAGCGATCCATAAAATAAATCTGATGAGAATGAATTACTCGTCAATAGCCAAACTCACCTCAGAATCCATTCAATACCACCACCGTGACCACATCCAACCTCAAGTAAGCATTTACCACCAAACAATTTATCATAATCCGGGCATACACTCAAAGTTATCTCATACAGATAAATATGAGCCCGATATGCTTGTTTATCGATAAAGTTATTATCAGCCGCCTCAGTGATATCACCACCATCTTTTTGTTCGGTATCATTTAGTAGTTGGTCAATAACGCAAAGTTTGCGCTCATCGTCAAGCGGACAGTAGCCGAGATTCAGGAAGTGAATATGAAACTTCGCTCGCATCCAATAAAGCAATGGATAGAGTATAAATCTGTCGAACAAATAATAGTAGAAACGATTGACCAACTCAAATACTTTCCAAAACATTTGTAGTTTTGCATTCAACTCATCTGATACTTTAATTGCTAATTCGTTGAAAAATTTTATTAGCGTATTGAAAATATTGTGATGAAGTATTGAAGATCGGAAGTTGAAATGATCACCAATTTGAAGGGAAGCAAAGAATCTGAATGGAGCATTGATGATGATTTGTGAAGATTGTCTCAGGAATGAGTCATATACTCTCAAAGAGTGGCTTTATTTGTTATGTCGATGTATAGTATATAATGAATATCTGCGTGAATCCTTCACCAAGTAGAATAAAACTTGATAATGCACGTAATAAGTCTGGTGATAATTAGTTGAAATTTTCATTTTGATCAATGTGTTGTTGCACGGCTCTCGTCTTGTGCAGTTGCAACGGGTTTGATTAGCCATCTGAATTCTTTTTCTTATTTGTATTCAGCTGTGCGCAGCATTCAGTTTCAAATCATTCCTCGAAGCGTTTTGAGCCAATTGCCTTCATCTTCTATTTGAATTTTTTGCATTATGATATCGTGTTTAGTTACTTATTTTTATTGCAACTTCGCTATTTTACATGCAAATAAATGAACACAAACCTTGACATGTTCCTAATTATTATTTGTTTTTGCATGTTATTGGATCCGCTCAAGTTTCTTTTGTAAGGAATTTCGTTCAGAATGTTCGGGAAATGTTAATCTCATCTCGAGATTGCAACTCATTCTAGGTGAATGTCATATTCTCAATAAGTTGTTTGCAGTTTCAGTATTAAGCTAAATTCTCTCATCGGTGTCCTGTTACCACATCATAAACGGAAACCATGTCGGGACGTCAGGGCGGTAAGCTGAAGCCACTGAAGCAGGGGAAAAAAGGACCGAAAGAGTTGTCAGAGGTACCTAACTATGATCATATCATCAGCCATCGATTTTTAATTTCCTTGTTGATTTGTTTGATCAGATTAGATGTGATCAAAAACCAAAGTTGTTATCAATTCTTTATAGGAGGATATCGAATTCAAAAAGAAACAACTAGAAGAAGCAAAGAAACTGAAAGAAGCAGCTCAGAAGGCCGCACATAAAGGACCGTTAGTTGGTGGAGGCATTAAGAAGTCGGGTAAAAAGTAACTGAATGCGAAGCATGGCCTATAACTTCGATCCTCGATCGATGTTGTACTCTCCTGTTATTTGCGATCGATTTATTTATGTGAATATCTGTTTCTGTTGATCGTTTTTTCCATCTATTTGTCGCTATTCTACTGTTTGATTCAGCAATCTGGTTTCTGCTGTGTGCTCTTGTGTGAAATTTTTATTGTTTCCAATTAAATTTGTTGGAATTTTGAAAATCATAATCGCCATCAAACACGTTCAGTAACTTAGCCGCATACGTGTGTTGTGCAATTGCTATATTTTCTTCACAGTTTCTCTTCAAGTTGGCATGATTCGATTTTCACAATATCGGTTGCTCTTAAATGATGTATGTGCTATACTCATTCATCGGTCACTTCATATATTTTCTTTGTTCTGCTCGGTTTCTGATTGACTGAGTTCGTTTTGAATTTAAATAAAAAAACTTGGGATTTTACTGAAGTTCTCTGTCTTGCCACGTTTGAATGCAACGGTGATTATTTCTTGAGACGCGTTGAAAGAGAATCGAAACAAATTTCTACGATCAATTAGTTTCACGGTAGTTTTAGCACCGTTAAACTGAGAATAATGTTTTTAAAAAATTATTTATTCACAGACACAAAACATCGAATAAATCAACCACAAAGCATTCTTCCAACTGAAATGGAGTCTTCTCTTACATTGAATTTCATTTCATTTCTTCGAATGCTTTGCTATTCATTGAATAGAGAACACTTCCTATCCATTTTCAGGCTGGAAACGTGATGAATAATGCGATGAGTGGTGTTAGAAGGTTACAGAGAATTGACTAGCGGAGAACGACCTCATATTCCGAGTAAAACAATGAAATTCCCTTAAATCATGTCCTGATTATGAAAAAGTAAACAGTAAGTAAGCATTGAAGGATATAATTTGAATGAAGCCCCAAAATATCACAACATTATAGCAGTAACGAACAGCAAATATGTCAAACAATTATTATAATTAATAAATGACTGCAACATCACTTCCGTTCGTTTTAATCCATCAAACGCAACAACTGTAGAAGTCAGGTGAAAGTCAGATTACGATGATGCGTGATACATTCAATGGAAACGAGTATGATGAAAAAGCAATCCAAAACGAAAAAAATTCAAAAAATTTGTTCTATAACTGGAATACAGAAACAAATAAACCAACGATACACAACAAAAACGACTTGACAACTTCAAAAAAAAAACAACAGTAAGGTCAAAGAGAAAATGGCAAAATTTCTGGGAATGTAACGAATATTGCGGGTAATATTGCGGGTATTGTAACTGTCCCTGTTTGACGACAATCGGATCGAGACAACGAAGACTGATTAATTGGTAGGGAACAACTTCTGTGGAGCATACAACACGATGGTGAAAATATATTCGAATTCATTGTGGTAGCTACTCAGATAAGGCAGTTTCTTAGTCGATATACATCAAGAACTGAAATGGCACTGAGAAGTAAATAAAAATTCTATTATTCAATATATTAAGCCATTGGATTGGCCTTCATCAGTTGAAGATCACTTGCTACCATTTCTTTAACGAGTTCCTGAAAATTTTCAGTTTATTTCAAATGCATGATGCATTGGTTCGTTGTGATACTCCAAATTTGTTATGAAATTATTTAGAGTATTATCCAGTGACAGCAAGTCAGCAATTCGTTTCGTTCACTCTCCTTGAACGGTTCGAGTAATTTTGTGGTAATCATAAGGTTATGTGAAGCTAGCAAATTCATGTGGCAGGATATTTCGGAGAATACGATGACGAGTTGCAGAAACAACTGATCACTTACGTTGAGGCCAATTTTTGCTTCCCATTGCAATTTCTGTTTTGCTTTCGTTGGATCTCCAATCAAAAGTTCCACCTGAAATGAAACATCCGAAAATTTGTAGTTGAATCAGTCAATAAATGAAAAATTAACTATATGTTGAACACAAACTGTGAAAAATGCCACACGCAAACCTCAGTTGGTCGATAGTATTTTGGATTGACCTTAACTCGTACGATACCAGTATCGCTTTCTTTACCCACTTCATCGACACCTTCACCTTCCCAGCTGAAATTTCGTTGGCGCTTTTGAGAAACTCCCATTCTTTGTGAACAGATCATTATTTGCATCATCAACAGCCGATCAACTAACTGAGTATTATGGCTTCAAAGCTTCAGAATCGAAAAACTAGATATTGATAATTGGTAGTTGATGTTCCATTACATTGCTACATTCACGAACACAATCACTACAATTGTTATTAATGACATGAGAATCGTCATTGCTGTGAATATTTTCATTGCCTTCAATATTGTCACTCATTATTGTGAAAGGAGATAAACATATTGTTGGAACCGACGGTGAATCAAACTGTAAATAAACCGCGAGGGACAAAAACGGATTGAGAACATACACAATAGTCTTGCCAATCTCTTTAAAGGCCAACTGTACAAATTCCCGTACTGTATACGTTTTACCAGTGGCGATAACAAAATCGTCAGCATGGTCGTACTGTAGAATACGCCACATAGCCTGTAAATGCACCAAACACACTTCACTCCATGATAACGTTCATATAAAATTAACCAAGATCACTGTTTTCCTCACGAATGTTTCTGCTACGTATCGTTTGAGCTTATAAAGTTTTAAGTTTCTCCAGGAACGGAAAGTTCACTTGCAAGAAAGAACAAGCGAAGATGGTCACCTCGACATATTCTTTCGCATGTCCCCAATCACGTTTCGAACTTAAATTGCCCAGTTCGATGAACTGTTGCTGACCAAGCGCGATCTTCGCAACAGATCTCGTGATCTTTCGAGTCACAAACGTTTCACCTGAACTCATTCTTGTAAACATCAAATCGCTGAGTATTTTGATCCATTCAATGAAGATCAATTGAACAAACTTTGTGATGACAAATTTAGCATAATTCATCCATAAAATGAAATCAAACTTGTGCTCGTTTACCTCTTCGTGGACTTTCATGATTGAAGAGGATTCCATTACAGGCAAACATACCGTACGCTTCACGATAGTTGATAACAATCCAATAACTGTACAATTTGGCACATGCTTAAAATGATTCTTGTCAACAAAAAACAAAAAAATGTCTGACGATAACTTCATCGAATAAAACTCCTTTTTGATTTCAATATTAATCAAAAAATTGTGCTCTGCACTGAATTGGTGAATGAAAACCTTATTTCTTCACAAAGATATCTTAGAATCGAAACATAATTTAACGAAACATCCCATTTTCGAATGTTTTCATAGTGCAACTAATCCATCTCATTCGTTCATTCAATATTGTTAAAGCAACATTGAATGTGAATCTTATAAAGTGTTCAGTTTCATTTGCTTCTCAAATGATGATCTCAATTTTCATCAATCGCCTATAACTGTGGTATCAGATCGTCAAAAAACCGAGCAATTACGCACCATACGGTGACCGAGGATAGAAGGGAGTTGTTTCCTTCTGTGGTATTTCTTGTACCTTACCGTACAATTCGGATGTTGATGCTTGATAGAAACGAATCTTATTCGTCAATCCACAAGCGTGAATCGCGTCCAACAAACGTAACGTCCCAACTGCATCTACTTCAGCAGTATACTCGGGTAGATCAAAGGATACCTTAAGTGATTTATACGTAAGTTTAGTGAGTCGATTCACTCGGAATTCATTTCATTCCTAATTTCACTCGATTAGACGAATCAATCTGTTCACTGTACACCGTTAATTCTTATCAAACATAACGATGAGTGAAAATTTTGCGCTGTAATAACGAAGGAAATGTGATCAGAATCAAAAATGATCACAACGATTGAATTGAGCAAATTCCGTGATACCTTAACATGACTTTGTGCAGCCAAATGATACACTTCAGTCGGTTGTATTTGAGCAAATAATTTGATAAGACATGAGGAATCGGTCATGTCACCGTAGTGTAACTTGAAATTTTCAGCTGGTTGATGAGTTATTGGATTCGAATAGAGATGTTCGATACGAGCTGTGTTGAACGAAGATGAGCGACGAATGATGCCGTGCACTTGGTAGCCTTTCGACAACAACAATTCCGCCAAATACGACCCATCCTAGAAATGAAATGGCTCTAGAACTTGTTGTACTTCTCGCAACAGTTCCTTCAACACTTCAGCACAATGTTTTGTATATGTGATGAGTTCTTATAGCTCGAAACTTAACACTT